CCCCCCCCCCCCCCTGCCGAAGCCCTCACACCAGCCCCTTATCCCCCAGGTTCCAGGTCAGAACCCACCCCCCCTTGCCCCGTCCGCAGTCCCCCCCTACCTCCCCGATGAGCCCCGCGAGTTCCGAGATCTCTTGCTTTCGCCCCGGCCACCTCTCCTCCAGGCCAGCCAGCGGAACCAACGCGTCTCCGATCCGGTTATGGCCACCGTGCACCCCTCCCCCCCCTCTTTTTTCTCCCGCATGGCCATTCCGCGTGGCCCCGGGACCCGCGACGGCGGAGAGAAGGCTCCTGCTGCCCAGTGGGAGGGGGTGGGACGGATCGAAACGCTCGGTTCACCGTATGGTCGTGTGGGGAACCACAGCAATGTGTAGAGCAAGAAGAGGCAGACGTGGCAATGTATACGCGAATCGATCAGGCTACGTCCGTGTGACGACTAGGCGAGGGTATTTACCGAAGATTGGGGGGGACAGCAGTGCATGACTGTCGGCGGCGAGCGTCAGTAGTTAAAAGATAGTACGGGAATACAATGAATGATTGGGTGAGTGCTTTGGACAGATGATTGGACTTCACACCCAGCTTTCGCGAATCTGAAGAAAGAAACAACAACTACAACAACAACAACGAGCAACCAAAAAAAAACAAAGACGCACAACGTGGGGAAGAAACACACAGCTGTAGTGATTCACCTGCACCCGTTTGAGGTGGCAGCACCCCCTGAAGCAGCTGCTCCCCCGTTGACCGCTGGCAGCCCAATCGCGTTCCACTTCGCGTTGTTCCGGTTCACGTTGTTCCTGCGCTTTCGCACGATCTCCGGAGTGCCCGGCCCTTGGGTACTGCTATTGCTGTAGCTGTCCTTGTTGAATGTCTCCGGCATGCTTGCTTGTGGTCCTCCTGCCGCCGGTGGTGGTGTTTGTTTGTTTGTTTGTGTTAGGGGTGCTTGTTCTTGCTTCTTTTATGTCTTGCGTCCCCAAACCTAAAAAATAAAACTGCCCAAAACAAAAACAAGCAACACCCCATATCCAAAATACCTTTTATCTCGCTTGTTGGTGTTAGCGAAAGAGACAAATTAGTCCCAATATTGTGGCATTTGGTAAACGCGCGCACACGCTTTCTTGTTGCAAGTACTGATGTTCGAGGTCTGTAACTAATCCCCCAATCCCTCGAAACCAGAAAAGTAAAAACATGAAACAAACATAAGACCAACACAAACAAACACACCTACACCCAATAGCGCGAAGCGAAGTCGGACAGAAAACAACGGAGTACAGCGGAGATGATGATATCAAAAGCCCGGGAGAAGGAGATGATGCAGCAACGATGCCGCCGGGTAGCAATGAGTCTCCGCTTGTGCTCCAAAAGCAGGACATTGCTGCTACCGTCCAACTCCCGCGCCCCCCTTATGTATTGGTAGAACCCTTCCACTAGAAAGCGTGCCGGCGTTTTTTTATCCCGGTGTAAGACTGACGCCTTTTCATCTGTATATTATTATGCTACAGCAGTAATTCGACAAGACACTCGGGAAGTCTCTCTAGCCAAAAGGCGCGAGGGCGGGGGAGTTATTTCTGTGTGCACGTGCGAAAAGTCGCGCTTCCATCTCTGTTACCGCTGTTCGATTCGAAGCGGACAATCCCGGCTCCTCGGTATGATACGGCCGGGGCAGTTGGCTGTTTTGCGCAAAGGCCTGTCGATAACGTCGGCACAAACGGTTTCGTGAGTGGAGTTTGCGTTCATCCTTGGCGTCGACCCCGCCCCCCTCGCTCTTCCGGTCTATTTTGTAGAAAACACACAATCACAGAAATACTGCAACCACCAAAGGACTACCCGTTTCGAGGTACTGCCACAGTCGAAGGGGGGTATGTTGAAGTCCCGCAGAGTTAGTGGGAAGAAAAAGCTTGCAGTAGCGGCGGTACTACACACTACACGCTTTCCGGCGGGAGAATGGCAACCAGAGCATGGGGGGTGGTATCCTCCATCAAGAACCAACACGCGGCCGTTCTATTAATAGCAGTTCTTCGGCGCCTAGAATATACGTGACGTGGTGAACGGCCATTTGGTGGGTTTCTCCCTCTCGAAGCTTCCGTGCCATGTGGATGGCGCGTCATTCATGTTGACGAGTGACACTGTTGCTGTGTGTGGTGTGTGGTGGTGGCTTGCACACGCCGCCCATTGCGCCAAAATTCAAAAAGGAAGGCGATGCGGCGCAATAGCCCAAATTTCAAAAAAAGCGTGCGTTTGTTTGTTTGTTTGGCGGTTGCCAGCTTCAAAAGAGGATACCGATCAACTTCAACTTCTCACCTGCGCACTGTAAATCTCCGCGTGGAGTGTCAAGATGTGGCAGCGCACACGGAGCGAGGGAGGGTCACTGGTTTGCTGATCAACAGCTGAGAGTTCTTCAAAAATGAGAGATTTGAAGGGGGGGGGGCACATAGCGTATGACGATTAGGTAGGTATGTCGTGTCCTGGGCATCCATATCTGCGAGCCCCGCCCTTTGTTATGCGCGATCACCGCACAGCACAGTTTTGGCGCTGTTGTGTGCAGCCTGCAACCGCAAACCGCAGCAGCCATGTCGGCGTCCTCCAACTTTTTGATACCTGCAATGAAGCGGCTGATGAAGCCGACCCAGAAGCTCAAGCCGGGCCTGCTCCCCAAGAACATCATCCCCAAGAACAAGTGGACGGTGAGTCTATCGGTCATGGTGGGTGTGAATCCACCGCCACCATCTCTTTGCAGCTTTGCAGCTGCCGCCGCCGCCCGCACACAGCAGCTGGGAGAGCTCGAGAGCTGCTGCTTTGAGCAACTTGCAGAAGAGCTAGAGCTGTTATTGCAATAGCGGTACTATAGCAGCAGTAGCATCAGCACCACAGCAGACGTTAGTACAACAGCAGTACTTCTGTAGTGCACATCAATGCTGTCCAGTTCCACATGCATATGTCGTGCAGGTGGGCTAACCCGGGGTAGACGTGACGCCATGAAGTCACACGCCACGCCGCCGGTGCAGGAATGATGTGGGTCGGGCGCTGGCAGCGTGGTCCATGCACGAGCAGAAAAAACACTGCGCGTTTGGATACCTCCTCTTCTGTAAGCGTTTCGGCCATCTACGAAATCTACGACACGGCTCTTCGAGCATGAAAATGTACACATGTACACATGCGAGCCGGCGGATTGCATCCCGACTGACTGCTTGCTCTCATGCCGGCGCTTCAATATACTGACCCTAACTCCACTAACACGCCCCGTTACTGGAGCTTTTGGCACGGTACGACGAAAGGGAGATGGAGGATAGCGGAACTGCACCGAGAGGGACCTCGTGTCTACAATGTGTTAGCCTCTTTGTCGTCCATATCTGTACAGTAGTCAGGCCTGAAGCAACGCGTTTTCGCACCCCCCTGCCCTCCCTCCTACGGCAACTTGACTTCCTTTTTAGCATTTACCAGGTTTTATTCATGGTCTCGTGGCCAAGGGGTGTTGGCGCTCTCTTTGCTTCGGGCGTGGATGGTACCATACCAATCACTGCCTCAACCACTTCTAATCCTCCCTCACCAACCTGCTCTGTACTATGTATGCATACGGCATTTCGGAATCCTCTAGCAACGTGTCTTTCTTTTGCGGAATTCCTCCCGTCCGCGTGGTTATCCTATCCCCCCCCCGGTATTTTTGGCGACAAGCACTGACACGTCAAACAAACCATCAAGTTGGAACACGATCTACCTCCCAAAGCCTCACCAGGGTGCGTTCGAATCCATGCGCGAGTGATCCAAGCACTATTTAGCTGAATACCCCCTGTTAAGGTGTACAATGCTACAAGTCAGCACAGTGGATGTCCTGTACACCCTAACAATAGTACAACCGGGTCCTTCAAATCGTTTGGGCTGTTGGACCTCGGAATTAACCCGGGGTTGCAATCCCTGTAATCAGCGCTACCCCGTGCGGTTCATCGACTTACAGGCGGGGATATCGTATGTCACCTTAACACCCCCACCTTGTGTTCCCCCCCCCCCCCCCCCCCCCCCCCC